CAATGAGGAAAGGAATCAGCTGGGGGAATCTGCGGCTGGTGCTGTACATTAGCAATGCCTAGTAGTTAAGCACAGGAGTCACCATGCTTCGCTGTTCAAGAACAAGGGTTTATTTAAAAAGAAGAGAAGAAAAAAAAAAAAAAGAAAATATCCACAAACCGACCCTGGTTTTGTGCTGTTCAGCCCGAGTCGAAGTTTTATTAAAGATTTCCATTCGGCAGAACCATCTAATAAATCTTACTGGTTAACAGTCGGAGGAGGAAGAAAATGCTTTTCTGGTGTCTGTTGGGAATTGCTGGTACTAAATTAGCTGCTCTGGAATTATTGCTGGCACCACCACGCTGCGGCTCGTGGAGGCTCTCTGTAGCACACTCCTGTTTGCACGCTGCTTGCATCCTAAGCAAGCAGAATATGGAATTTTTAATCATGCACAGAAATGCATTTGGTATTCTTTTTGCTCGTGGAAAAATAGACCCTTGAAGAGCATGGCAGGAAGGGAGAACGCCTGCCTGCAAAGGCAGGACTTGCCAGTGCTGGAGGGGAGGGATGTCTTTGCAAGCCTTTCTGGAGGGAGGTGTCCAGCAGAGCAAGGTGTGATCATCTCAGCTCTTCATCCTCGTTGGCTGCTGTCACCACCTCCAAAGATCCCACAGACTTGGATCTGCCAAACCGAGATGGGATCCACTTGGCAAACAGGACACAGTTGCCTGATGTTTGGGAAATGTCAAATATTTCCCTCACCCTCACACGTCACATAGAGGATATTCAAGACCTGCGTGTGAACTCTCAGTGAATTTTACAACGTTTCAGGCATATTATAGCTCTTTGCCCACTTGGCACCATCCCTCAAAGGGTTAATTCTAGGTCAACACGAATTTCTTACTGACTTCCATCAGGCTGGGCTTCATCTGAAAATGATGCTCGATTTGCTCTTCTGTTGATTGTGAGCTGGAGACCTGAACCATTTATTTTTCGTTTTCATTAGAAGTAATTTAACTTGATATTAAAACCATTTGAATGGACCTTTAATTTTTCATACACGAGGAATGTCACACACATTTCTTTTCCCTGTGCTCGAAGCCATCGCGCTCCCTAGTCACTAACATGTAGAAACAGTGCAGATAAAAATAAAAGTGATGCGGTCAAGATTTTTCCCAGCAAATTCAGTATCGAGTGATTCCTGGTGAGAGGAGATCAATAGCATGCAGTTAATTTTTAAGTTGTTTATGTTGCTGCTTTTAAACCATGTTTTTTGTGATCCATGCTAACGAGCGGAATGAGGAATTTATAGATTCATAGACTAAGGTCAGAAGGGATCTCTGTGCTTAGTTAATCTGAGCTTGTGTATACGCAGGCCATGGACTTTTCCCCAGGCAGCATCTCTCTTGGAAACATATCTAATCTCCTCTTAAAAACACCGAGTGTTGGTGAGTTTGCCCCCTCCCTTGCTGGTTCACTGTTTAATTATCTTTGCTGTTGGGAAAGTGCCTCACTTCAAGGCTGAGATGTGTAACTTGACTTTCTAGCCCTCGTAACCTGCTATGCCTTTGTCTGCGAGACTGAAAGCTTTTCCACTTGCTCCCAGTGATCAAGTCACCTCTCAGCCTTTCTTTGATAAACTCTTTAAGTTTTATGTCAAAGATTTGATTTGCAACCTGGGGTCATTTTTGCAGCTTCCCTTTGAAATTCTGCTGATATTTCCACATGTTGATGCGTGGACCCAAGACCTGCATTCATCTCGCCAACGCCGCATGCAGCAGCACTCTCTCTTCCCAGCTTCAATTTGTTTTCATTTCAGCGTTAGGGCTCATATTATATATCCAATATTGCATTGACCTTTTATCCACTGCATTGCGATGAAAGCTCTGAGTGGCCTCCTTTATGTCCTCCTGAGTGCCTGACTTTCGAAGGGGAGCAGGGCTGCTATGCAGGTACAGTCTGCGATTGTGCTTCCTCCATGTATTACTTTGCATTTAAAATACCGCTGTGATGTTGAGACCGTCTAACTGAGACATGCAGATAACTGGCTGAAATAGCTCCTTCTGTAATATTTTTACCCACCAAGTGCTATGCCACCCGCAGCCTTTACCAGGGGAGATTTTCTATTACCTGGATTGTTGGTAGATATATTAAATAGCATTGAAGAAGAATCAATGCTTGCTACCGGTGGCCTTGCTCAATGATATCTTCTCATTAACAACTACATTTTGAGATCTGTCAGTGAAGCAGATTTAATCTCTCTAATGTGTGCCTTGTTAATTCCATATAATACCAGCCAAATACCTTGGAGAAATCGCAGTATATTATAGCATCACAGTTGTCTTTAGCAGCCAGGCATGTTTTACTAAAAAACAAAGAACCCAATTTCCCCCCCAAAAAGCAAAAGACAACAGGTTGGTTTAACAAGACCCATTTTCCAGGAAAGCACATTGATTGCTGTTCATTATATTATTAGCATCTAGTTATTTGTTGATGAAATCCCAAATTAACCACTCTGGTATTTTGCAGCAGACCAACATGAGGCTAAATGAGACCACTTAGCCTGATGTTGATACTTTGCAAAATTAATTGCTGCACTAAAATTCTCCCTTTTACCTTTTCAAAATATGGAAACTCTGGCAGTGCCCTGATCCATCCTGAACTGTAAGACTTATTAAAATCAACATTAGTGGTTCAGTCAGCTTCTCAGCAAAGTCTCTAAAGATGCCTGCATCTAAGCCGGCTGGGTTGCCCGATTTGAGAACTTAATTTCTGAGCTCACACCTTTCCTTGCTGCCAACAGTGACCTCTTTTGGTCCCTCACAGCAGATTATGGAACCAAACCTTCTTGCTCCCTTCCAAATACAGATGAGAAATACCCATCCGATCCGTCTGTGTTATACTTTGCTACCTCATCAGCAATGGTTTTGTTAACAGATTAAAATTACAAATTTGATCCCAAAAGGTTTGAAGTGCCTTTCTTTTTACTTCTATTAGCCCTTAGTACTTTACTGGTTCCCTCAGCCTCCTGTAGCAGCAGCCAGTTTTTAACCTATTTGTTACTGCTAACCTCCCATTTTCCCTATTTCCATACATGCTGATTTATTTAGTTTTTGTGATAGGTTTTACATCTCCTGTTGGCTGAAATATTTTTTCTTGACCATTTCCCAGCACATTTAGGAATTTTTGAAATTGTGCCTTTCTGGCATCCAGTTGGGATGTACTGAACTATTCTTTTTTTTGGTGACTGTCCCACTATAAATGTAGGTTTCTAGTCCACTATTGCTTTAGGCTTTAGAAAAAAATGTAATTTAGAAGTTTGAAGTTACTTTTTACTGACGGGTGTCATATTCTACTTAAGCAAAGCCAGTTTATTACAGCAGCAGCTAATATTTAGGTCCCTGGTTCACTCTCCTTGGGCCATCACAAGGTCTCCCAGTGGATTCCCTTCTGCAGGGTGCAGAGCAAAGCATCCCTTCATGTTAGAAACCCTGGGAAGTTTTCAGGTGAGATGCTCAGCCCACAGCCCCTGGTTGAAATCGTCCATGCAATTTCTTTTGTATTCCAGATACTTAATTAACAGGTTTTTTTGTTATGTTTTACAAAACAGAGATGTTCAAAGACCAGTTCAACCCTCCCTATGGGAAGATACAGGAATGTATAAAATGTACAATTCCCTCGCGTTTCATTTTACTGGTTAGGGCTCTAATCCTGGGCTGCATTGCACCCTGTATTTCTCTTTTTTTCAGGAGAAAAATACCATCAGCAGCTGCCTGAGCACTGCAGGCTCCTCCTGATCCTGCTAGAGCCAAGGAAGACCTGACCTTAGGGCTCCGCAGATGGAGCCGGCTGCTCGGCCCCCTTCACTTCCAACACAATGGGCTTCAGCAGCCAAGAGAGGGCGCTCCTTAAATTAATAAAAGAAAGGGAAAAAAGGAGAAAACCAGGAAAAAAAACTAGCAAAAAGAGAAAAACTGAGCATGCTTTCTGAAAAAGGAATTTTCTTATCTGCACCAAAGCAAAAGGTTAAATGCAACAAGTTAAAACATGGAGGTGTTTTTCAGCCGTAGGATGGGGGCTATGGACACCCCTGGGGCAAGGAGCAGAGCTGTTGGCTGAATGTTTGGGAGATGCAGGTCCAGCTGCTGCCCCATCACTGCTTCTCCTCCCACCCCACCCTGTGGTTTTTTTCACCTGGGCACTTACCCGGCACAACCCCTCCACCCTGGTTTTGCTCAGTGCCTCAAGACGCTGTTGCAGCGACCACTGATAACAAACCCTCACCCAGTGCCTGTGGCAGCATCCGTGGAGCAGCGATGGCTTTTCCCCATGAAACCGATAGCTCAGCCAGTCCTCGGCATGGGGATCTGCTCTGCGAGGGGCTGGTGCTGTAAAAAGCCTGAAACAAGTCCGTCTTTCTCTAACAGCTACATAGTACTTTTAAAAAGACCTTTAAGTTCTGCCAGTACCTGCCATGGGTGCCAAGTCTTATTTTTGTCAGCTGATTTGGGAAGTTTGTTAAACCTGTGACCAGGATCAGGGAAGAGAGCCCCAAAAAGCAATCAATCAAAAGCACGTAATAAATAATAATTATTATCAGTGTGTGGTGCTTACTCAGTATTCTTTTTTTTTTTTTTTTTTCACAGATCTTTTAGTTAGTTAGCAAAAACATGTTCCACATTATGGTGGTCTCTCCTACAGTGGGTATTTATCATCCTCCGGTTACACATGGCAGCCTGAGGAAAACAGCATTCCTGTAGACACTGGAGGAGCCCCACACACATCCCTCCCCATGATCCATCACGCCTGAATGTGAGGAGACATATGAACCGTAGTAGGGTCCTGGATGTGCACTTTGGGAAATGCTGCATCTCTGAACACGTACAAACAAGAGATGAAGAAATACCCCAGGTGGTACACACCTCCCTTCCCCTCTCCCCTTCACTGTTAGGTTGTATTAGCTTATTTCTCAGCAGAAAATGTTAAGGCACCGGTAATTCAGTTTTAATGGTTTTTCTCACCTGCAGAACTGCCTGGAGTGGTTCATGTTGGGACCTGCTTTAATATTGCCTTTCTCTGGGTCATAGATGGTGGTTGCTCGTGCATAAGCTCCTCCAAGAATAAAGATGAACCCATTGAGAGTGACTGCAGGAGCATATTTGTTATCTGTCAATGGAAAGCAACACTGAGATCAGTTTTAGGCTCAGGTCTGGAGACTGTTTTTTTTATTTATACATTCCCCTTATTTATAGATAAGTCACGTTTCTCTAAACCTCCAAGGCTAGGGAAAGAAAAATGAGGAAACCTTTCCTGGTTTTGTTCTTCTCTCTCCAAGTTCTCAAAGGCACTTTTAAAGTTCATCAGTCCTTCATCCCCTAGTACGCACCTCCCTCTAAACTGGTAAAGTACAATTATCCTCTCCCAAAGCCTAATGGGAGTCACCGTGAAAGCTCCACTCTTACATATGAAATTAAGATGTCAAGTTGTTTCAGAATTTTGAATTGTTGCAAATTTTAACTCAGATGCTTCCCATGCCTGTGCAGCAGCTAAATACAGAAGAAACCCACAACGCAGAGAACCGCTTAATAATACCCAATAGTTGATTCTCTTTTGTATTCTGCTTTTGCTTGTGGGAAGGTCACCCACATAATCCATAAGATTTTCTGAGACCCAGGTTTTTTTCCCCTTCATCTGTCTCGTAAATTCACCTGCATTTTTATTTTCAGATGTGTGTGTACCTCCAAGCAGTCCTGTATTTTAGCAATGAACTGTGTGAGGTTGGAGTTTGAAATTAAGCAAGTCCCTTATCCTAAGCCAAGTTCAATCAGAGTTTCCAAGGATGCTTTAAAATTCTTGTGTTAGCTGTGGCATTATTAGAAATATTGGTAGAACTAACCATAAATTATCAAATAAAATAATTATAATTTAATTAGTTGACTTGTCCCGTATGCTGCTAGCATGCCATATGCACATTATTAAATATGAGCCAGTTGGGCTGAAATTTCTCATGATGGTGTCTGTCTTGATGAGATACAGTTTTTTTAATCAACATTTCAGTGAAACCAATCAGCAGTGTCTGGGAACAAAAGACAGGAAAATACATTGCTTTATTTGAGTTAAAATAAGCTTCACAACCAGTTCTCTAAGAAGCAAGAACCTAAGACCTTTAGGACATGAAGCAGACGTTTCCTGGGTGGCTACCCTGGCATGAGGGGACACCTTTATAAAAATTACCCATATGGAGCTATATGTTAAGGCCTCTCCAAAAATCTGCATTTTTATATGCTCAGAAAAGGGTGATCCTCTTTCATCACCAGTGGAGAATCAGCCTGGACACAGTCCTGCCGGCTTCAGCCCCCACAACCCTCCTGCCAAGTACGGGGAGTTGGGGCAGCGTGCTGGAGAGGAGGTGCGATATCATCTTTACTGTGCTCTTGTACTTCTGCTAACAGCCTCTACATAACATTGAAGGGGTCTACATGTTCCTCCCAGATCTCTAACACTATGACTGTGTCCTTTTAGGAACACAGACACGGGCTTGAAGTAGCCCCAGCAGCTTTACCTTTGGCATTTGCTTACCTCTTGCATGGCTGGCATTGTAACCCTGAGGTTCTTGTCAAACCACCTCATTCCATTAAATATTTAACAAGAGATTTAATTTGACATGAGTTAAGCAAAAGCTGATGAATTTCTCCAAAAGAGAGACAATTTCCTTAACTGGGGTTTGAACTGGTTAAACTAGAAGGAAACTAATGAGTTTGTGGTGTCTGCTTCTGTTCCAGCGTGGCCATGGGGTGGTCTGGTTCAGTTCACTCACCCTACGTCGGTGCATGCCCAGGGGGACGTACAGGGGAGCAGCACCCGGCGTGAAAAGAGACAAAACATGTTACGGGTTAAAGCTGGGCTCCTATTACGCTGAGTATCTACAGGCATATGTCAAAAAAACACGGATGTATTAGGAAAATGTCACTGATCCTTGGGAACAGATGGGAAGAAACTAATTCATCCAGAAAATAGAACAAGGAGTATTCAGTTTCTTCTCGGTGCCACTAAGCCACTATAATTCATCAGAAAGACTTATCTGTCCTAACAACTCGGCTCACATCCCTTTCCAAATCAGACTTGCATATGTGACATTTTTTCCAGTTAAGACACTCATCAGAAATTTTCCATATTTAATTATCACATCTTCCTATTTTTTTTTCTCCAAATAGCAGTGTTTTGAGGGAGAATGAAGCTCTCGCATAAAAAAAAAAAAGAACTCAGCTCCCAAATCTCACAGGGAAATTATTTGGGGCTCCCTCAAGGCAGAAACAGCAACTTCTCAGGAGACTGAATCACTGACTTCACATTCCTTTTTTGTTAAAGAAAGAGAAGGAAACCCCTTGGTTATTTTTATAGTGACTTTTTTTTTTCTTTTCAAATAGGGAGACAGTCTGATATTCTTTTTCTTTCTTTTTTTAAGAGGCAATCGTGTTTGATTTTCATCAATTTTTCAATACATCACCTATCTGTTGTCTTTTTACTGCTTTTGGCTTTAGCTACTATTTCATAAATTGGTATAAAGTAAGCCTGAGATAGAGAAACAGAGAAATCTCTGCTGTTTCTTTCAGGAAGGGAGACGTTCACAGCAAACAGTCTCCTGATCCTGATGAAGATATGGCAGAAAGACATGAGGGACACCCCTCCAGAGACAGGTAGAGAGAAAACAGTGTGTTTTATTTTTGTTTTGTTACCATGGAGGCAGAAGTTGTTCACAGATACAGGGAGCTTGGAAAACTCAAGCCATCATTCCTGCTACCTAGATGTGGATGACCACCAGTCAGTGGATGATCTTACTTCATCCCAGGTGCTACCCACACTCTTCCCTTGTTGTTGTCCTTTCCATGGCTTGGTAACCTCATGCAAACACTCAGGAGACTCCAACTTCTGCCACTGCTCTAAGTCCTTAACATGCTCATAGAGCAAGGTGCGTGGCTGGGGAGCCTAATTTTGCAAAAGCATGTTCTGGTTGGGCTTTTTGGTCAATGACATTGGGCATGAACATGAGCTTCTATGGATCAGAGGCTTACTGTGGGATACAGTGGGGACTGTGGTTATTTCAAAAGTCTGCCAGAGGGAAGGAAGAGGGGGGAGAGGAAGCATGGAAACAGAGAAGGAGCTTCCTTTCCCCTCCAAAATTCAAGTGTTGGCGCTGTCAGATAGACTAATCCATTTCAGGCTGGAAAAATCTTAAATGGGATTTGTCCAGGACAGCAAGCACACTTGAGATTAAAAGGCAGAATAAATGTAAAAGAAATAATAGATAAAAGGTACTCTTCTTTCCAAGTGGATAACATCATAACATCACTCTCCTTTGCTGCTGCTATAGGAAAATATGCAAGTATTTCTATTCTAGTGACAGGTCATTGCAGGAAGGGGTATGCACTCAATGACAATCCGGAGGTGTGCTTCACATGGGGTTGATAATTTAACCTACTGGTGTGCTCCTCACTTAGTAAGGACAGTGTGCTGTCTGTGATGTGCTTCGTGGCTCTCGTATCTCTCGGTATATTATATGGTCAAGTAGCACAGTTCTGCTTTCCCTTCCATGATTGCTTAAAGATCTTATGTTGCCTTCCAGTAAAGCACTCAGTCAGAGACTGAAGTGGCATTACAATGAATGGCAGCAGCACTTCATATGGAAAAAGGTTATTAAAACCAAACTAGTCAAACATTTTTATCAGGAGAAAGAAATGCGGGCATGCCAGCAGTCCAGATATAACTCCAACCGAAGGGTCTCCCTGCAGGCACAGGCGGCCGGTGGGGGTGTTGATGCACATGATGAAGCAGATTGGAGAAAGGAGACTAGTTAATACAAACTAAATCTGCTTTTAATAGTAAGTGCCTCTTCCCCTCCCTGAATACTATGCAAACAAGCTCAAGAATGGCATAGTAATGGATAAGATAATATCCCACAGCAGCTGGGAGACTGTGTTCTGATCCTTCACATAGCTCATGAGGCCGAAGTGCAGATATTGCAATTAACAGCAGGGTCTCGGATGTCAGTCCTTCTGGCACAGTGCTCTCAGGCTGGCTGATTTCTCGTAACTACACAGCCGGTCACAGACCCTATGGTTTCCTCAATGACCCTTGACCAAACCCTCCTCAGAAACTCCGAAGTTGAGTGTCCTCACTTGCAAACACCACATTTGGTGTATGTGTGGTGGGGATCACCCACACCAAAGCAGAAGGCTGCACTTGCCATCGTGGGGCAGTCTCAGCATCAAACTTACGGGCAAAATGTTGAACAACTGAAGAGAGTTGGACAAAGCACGGCCACACAGATGAAGCAGAGGCAGGAAGTGAAAGGGAGGACATCTGCTGAAGGGCAAACACAAAAATACTGACTTGGCTGGGTAGAAGGCAGAGTCAGTATGTGCAGGGAGAACACATCGAGGGGTGGAAAAGCCATTCTGAATGGAGCATATGGCATATATGGAAGAGAAATGGGTGAGACAAAGGAAAGTAAAATTCAAGCTTACTAGTGGGAAAAACACTAAGAACTAGTCATGGGAAGAAAGATATGTTGATGGAGGAGATGAAACACTCATTACTTTGAGACTTCTAGGTGAGAGCCAGCCAAACCCACACATGGATACCAAACTATTGGCCTTGGGGAGAGGGCCAAGACATGCATCTGATTTTTCTTGTAAAGTCCAAAAATAAATTCATGGGAATGATTATGCATTTTAACCAAAATAAGCCATGGGACAGTGCAGTAAAAATGCACAGATGCTGCTAACGCTGTTTTCCAGATATTTCTTGCATTCTTAGCTTTGTGATTGTCCCACTTTGGTTGGACATATCACTGCAGGAGTAAACGGTATGGTGAGGAACTAGATACTTGGATTAGAAATCAGAAATGCTCATAGATCTTTGACCTCTGTGTTCCCATAGTTCTCACCAGATTTTAAAATTTAATAGCGGTGGTGATTAAACACTGTTTTTTTTACAATCCAGAAACATTAATAAAAACTTCACATTCCACCAGTATAGACACTGACTGTTCAGAGTATCAAAAAAGGTATATTTTAGTGCACTGGCATGAAGGCACAAAAGGCAATGACAAGATAATTAGGCTTACTTACAATCACTGACTTCAGCATGTCTATGGTGATCGTGTTAAATAAGACAAACCTCGGGAAGCTGGCCATGAAATACATTTTTAGCAGTGCTATACAGAACAGCCTGGCAAGAAATGGAAAGGCAGGTGCTGCAAGTATGTAGCCTGGGTTCATTTGCTGTTGTAGGACTTCGGCTCGACAGCAGCAAACTTCTTACAGCTCAAAACACAAGAAGGGGATGTGCAAGGTGGTTTACCAAAAATATGCAGTGTGAAAGCCCTGGGAGGCTCCATTACTCCAGTAACATCAAACTGCGGGCTGTGCTGCTGCAGGAATATCTGCCAACCTCAAAAGATGGGGAGGACAGACATGGGGCAAAGGATGGGGCACGAGAAAGACTCTCTCCTCTCCAAACATGGATGTGTGTAATCAACACCTACCCAAAGGCTATCACAGCATCCATGTGCAACATGTTGGTGAGTGTCATACCTACTGCATGCAAGCATCCACGTCCCAACACCTCCTGGCAGGTGAAGGCTAAAGAATAAATGGAAACTGGGAGTGAATTTGCTGCTTATTCCTAGAAGAAATCCAGGCAGAAGAGAGCAGGGGCTGAGCTGCGTGGACTTGCTATCGGTCCCCACTCCGTATCTCCTCTGCACAGGCAGGATGTCAGTATCCAGCCTGTTTCACCTCCGTTCAGATTAGCCAAAAAATGACTCTTCCCCCCTGCCATGGTTGATGCCAGTATTGCCTTGGGTTAGATTGGCACACGATGCTTTGGAAGAGATGGACCTGTTGGGTTCAAACATGTGCCATGCTGTATTCAACTCACTATCATAAAATACCACAGTGACTTGAGACTCAAGTGGTGTAGATGGTCTAAAAATCTCCAGAGACCTGTCCTACTTTCCATACCTGCATCTACTGTTGCATATCTGAGCATGCTTGATGTGTTTTTTAAATAATCCATTGTCCTATTTGAGGTCGAACAGGTTTCACTGATCTCTGGGGTGACCTTAAACAACACAAATCGCCATCAGATATCTCAGTTGACTTAGCACAGAGGCACACCTTAAGAATCCACAAATCAACATAAAAAGGCTCTGAGGCTGTCCAAGGCACCCCAGCAGTGATCATTATCAGGCTCCTTCTACTCCCTCATTGTTTTAGACTGTACCACGCTTGGCGTAGCATCCAGTTCTTGGGGGATACTTTACAAATACAGGTGATACTATGGTTCTTGCAGAGCTGGAGAAATTAAAGCCTATTACCAATATTCCCACTGCCTTTTAGTGAATATCAGGCATTACATCAGTTCAGTTTCCCAGACATTCTCCACGGGGGTGCAATTTTTCATGCTCTGTGTTATTTTACTTTATTTGCAAATAAATTGACATTACACATTTCCCAACAAAGACACACAGCAACTCCACATTTTATCATATATTTTATGCCTTCAGCTTAACTAATTAACTTTGCTTACACCAAGAAAACATAAATACTATCTTTTAACTTCACCGGTGTCTTTCATGTATTTTTGTTAGGAAATAATAGTACACGTCCATTAGAACAGTGGGTGACGAACCCAACTCTAGATGGTTTGGATGATTTTTTCTGAGCATGCATGGTGTTGATGCCTGCTAGACAGTATAACGAGCCCAGGGAATGATTTCTTAGCTCCTGTGGCACTTTTACTATTTTGGTAAGGAAAAGGAATACCTCTTTGCATAATGCATTCATTTTTGCAATACACTGTGAGTACAGGAAAACCTCATACTGTCAGTCAGTGGATTAAATGAACAGCAGCAGCTGTAGCCATGTGATGGAAAAAGCCAGGCAATAGGTTTGTTTGCACTGCTGTATTACATAAACATGACTTTTGCCGGTTAACGCCCTCCTGCTGGGCGCTTCATGCTGCATCATATGCATGTCATGTTATGTTAGCCTGGACACAAACAGCAGCAAGGGAGTTGGAAAGCAGCAGCGCTGTCTGCACAGGGGAGGCTACAACCGTGGCTCTACCAGGTCCTCATGACCTGATCTACTAGGGAACCCCAAGAAAAGAGTCATAATAATTGTAACAAGCTACAATAAAAAGAGCAGCTTGTTTTAGTTTTCTGAATATGCTTAGGCCTTACCTGAATACCTTATAACTGTGCTTCTACAATTTATTACTTGCTACACCTATTGCTCTACCAGGCTCAATACTCAGACTGTGATTTTTTTTAAATGAAGCATCTCATGGCACAGTTTCAACATGAATAAGAGGTTTAGGGTGGTGAAACACTGGCACAGGTTGCCCAGAGAGGTGGTAGATGCCCCATCCCTGGAAACATTCAAGGTCAGGCTGGACAGGGCTTTGAGCAACCTGATCTAGTTGAGGATGTCCCATTGCAGGAGGGTTGGAACTAGATGACCTTTAATGGTCCCTTCCAACTCAAACCATTCTACGATTCTATGATTCTAGGATGCAAAAGCAAGCCATCCGAAAGCAGCTTCTCTGCAATGACTGTATAAGTGCTGTTTCTTTGGCCACCCGAGTACAGCCAGCCCAAAGGCTGCCCACAGTCACCCAGTGCAGAGCAGGTGGCCCAGGACAGCTGCCACCCTGCAGTAACACTCTCCTGAAGCTGAACGTTAAACCCCATTTCCAAAAGCCGCCTAAACACTCAGGGTGCAAATTGCCACAGAAAGCAAATAAGTCGCAATCTTCTGAGCGCTATCCTGATTTTGGAAGGAAGTCTGCACCTCTGACGTTGGCTGGTACAGTGGCAAGTTTGGCCTCTCATCTTGCTCTTTATTCTGTAAGATGTTCGGTGAGCTCGAGGACATCACAAACTAATAAACACAGTTTTAGTAATCTACATGTCTCGGAGATTTCAGTCTCTGAAGCACATATGCCTTTGGACAGCACTTATAAATCCCAGTTAAGAATGACTGCTACTTGCCACAGGACAGGTGGCATGTTAATAAACCAATGAGTAATAATCCATTAACTGAGCAGTGTTGTAAAACTGCATGGAGCAACACATGATGCCAGGATGAAGTTTCACTGCACTTTGCGATTTTTTGGTTCTAAAATTACCTGTTGTCCATACTGAATAACTGCTTTCCTTTCTCCTCTACTTTGAACTCATCACTTCTAGCTGATAACTAGCTGTATTAATGACTGACAATTGCCTTCAGTAAAGATCCAGATAATTGCCTCTCTGGTATAATATACCATGCATTCCTGCCAATCTGTTGTAAACATATCTCCCCTCACCCCCCAACTCATTTGCTTTCTGAAAAGGCATTAAAATACCCATAGCAGAGATTTCTGTTGTAATACAGGTTTATTCTGACACCATGCATCCCTTACCGATCATCGGAGACTCTATAAAACTCCATGAATTAGTCTGAGGGATGTAGGACTGCAAGACCCCCGCAGCTCGGCCGGCTTCGTTCACCCCACCGAAGACATAGATCTTCCCACCGCAAACAGTTGCAGCAGCTGAATGGACAGCCTTTGGCAGAGGAGCGATGGTCTCCCACTGGTTGGTTATCGTATCGTACCTAGGACGACAGCAATCCGAGTGAGCTGAGATGATGCAAGACTGGGTGAGCAGTAAAGATGGGATAGACAGGCAGAGAAATCAGGCTGGGATTTAGAAGAAAGGCAGCTTGACAAATGGAAGAAAAGCAGAGGTGGAAATGTATTTTTTAACATCCTACAAATTCAGCCACTTGGTAAACAGTGTAATTAATGTTTTTTTCTAAGCTTTTACAACATTGAGTAAAGCCCAGAGAAAGCTGGTTCTATTTTCTATATATGCCTCTCAAATCTCATTATAGTCCAAGCTAAAGCAACTCAGGACATCTTTGTTGAGATGTCTTCCACTAATTAATTTCTTTTAATGAGTATACAATGAGATTATTCTTGCAAATCAGTGCAGTGATATCCAATAGCAACCGCAGGCAGGCAACTGTTAATATACTTCAGTTGTTCAGCTCGTGGAACACATCTCACCTGCAACATAATGCAACACGATAGCTCTTTTTACTCTAGTTAACTGACCAGCGACGCACATTTTGTGCCAGAATAAGTTGCTTGCGTTTAATTTTCATTGTGCAAACCAAACTACTATGCTTCATTGCAGGATGCTGCAAAGGTTAATGCTGGAATAAGATTTCACCATTGCATCCATATTTGACATGAAGCAAACAGAAAAGAGTATGTATGAAAGTGGTAAATTAGTTTTAAGGTCATCAGTATCTGATTTAATTAAGCCATTGACCATAAGGGATGTACAGTTAATAATCCATGGATGAAGATTCATTTTAGACAATGTCAGAAGTACAGACGTCATTTTTTTTTAACGATAATGTGGCAGGGATCCAAATAGCTGCTCTAAAATGAGTCTTGGAGACAGTGGAAAATAATGTGATTTTTAGGCTTCTATATTTTCACGTAATGGCACATTCAGTCAAATAGGAGTTTCCTGTATAGCGATTATTCAGAATTGTTGACTGCAAGAACAGAAGGCCTCATCACCCATTCAGGGCTTTTGCTCTTAATATTAGTGATATGCAATATGCAAATGTGAAATGAATCCATGGCCATGAACCCATCTGTAAAAAATGATTTGGTGACAGGGGAATTCTCCCTTTGTTACATGTCCCTCAAATTCTCACTTTCCAAACCTGGGGAAAATAAAAGGGAGAACTTATATAAATGGTGGAAACAGCACAAAATAATGTGCTTAATGAAACTGCATTAATGAGTTTCCGAGTAATATAACTGAAAGTAATTAACACACTCATAAAACTGAAGCAAAAGCAAGAGGGAGGCAAACTTTAACTAAAAAAAAAATTAGGGAAGTCCCTTGTAATGAGCATAGAGAACTGCCTTGTACAATGCTCTAAATTAGTTACTGAAAAATTAAATTGATCTACAACAAGTGATCAAAGGGGAGAAATAGAACAAGATTAAACAACATGGTGCTGGGAGCATTGAAGGCAACACACCTATATTGGGCTGATTCTTAACTTTTGGTACCAAACCTGAGCCTGCAGATGCATTTTGACTGCACAAGCAACTCCTCCAGGTAAGGCACCATATGCTGCATCTCCCGCATTTGCCCACAGCACTTGGGGCAGCACTCATGTCCGTCCTAGCAGATATGCAAAGATCTCACATAATATAAACAGGTTCATACACTGCTTTTGGGTTACACTTTGCTACCTTGCCTACTGCAGTAATTTGGGGGTTGGTAATTTAAATCTTGATGTCTTATTAAAAAGGGGTTAAGAAATTGGTTGTAATTGGTTAGAAACTGGGAAAAGCAGTAGAGCTGAGAAGAACTGACCTAATGTTCCTTTCTAGTTCCTTGGCTTCTAAGATATAAATTACACCTGTCACCCAATATGCATTGCCTCACACCATCCACTCTGACTTAGCACGAGGAACATCTGTGGCCAGTCGAAGTGGTCTGAGACGGGCCGGAGAGCAGCCACGCTGCCTTCCCCACCGCTGGCAGAAGTACCTGGCAGACCACAGTTCCCAAGACAGATACATTCCTGCCAATGACTTTCTGATCATCCTAACATGTTTTTGGGAAGGAGGGGTTATATCCTTCACATATGCTGGGGGCTGGGTGTGCTTGAGGACCAAGTCTATAGGAATACAGGAGAAATGTTCAAACTAAAAAAACAATCATCCTTTTTCTGGATGAATTTCACTATTGGGACCTCAGATCCCCTAGACCCTGTTTTTCACCCACTTTCACTGCTCTCAGTTTATGCTTTATGGTGACAGAACTGATCTTTCCTTCTCCTACCCTCCTTCATCTGCCACCAGGAAACCAAAAATCACCAGTTTCACTTCATCTGCTGAAAGCCAAAGGCTGCAAATCTACTGGATATAGGTGCAAGTGGCGCAGATTAAAAAACCACTCTTGTTTTGAGGGTCATTTGGTTTAAAAACTCACTGAACCATAAAGTAGGTGGAAGCAAGTCGTTGTCCACCTAACACAGGCATCTAATGTGGGTTTTACATAGGCTGCTCAGTGAAGCAATCCTCTTAAGTAAGTACCTAACTTACCCTGGGGCTGAAGAAGAGAAGTTGGTGCCTTCAAGGCTTCCTGATACCTGTCCATCAAGTCCCTCCATCCCCTGGGAATTTATTCCTTCAGTTCATTCCCTCCTTGAAAAACTGTAGACCTGATTTCTAGTCTCTGTTTTGCTTCAGCTCCCACCCACCAGAAAGTAAGTTTTTTTCTTCCTGTTGGATTATGAAGCTGACTGCTGTCAAATGTCTCTCTTTCATGTATGGACTTGCAGAAAATAATAAAGTCACCTCTTCATCTTCTATGGGATAAACTAAGTAGTCTAAGCTCCTTAAATCTCTGCAAGGCAGGTTTCCATCATTTTGGTCTATCTCAAGTTAGGTCTTAATGTGTTCACACAAGGATTTGCACCAGATTAACTAAATTGGTTAAAAAAATGAATAAAGTTGAATCTTTGTAACCTTCCAGGACAGAAAATAATGACACCTGCTTTACCTCTCTGCCCTAGGGCCTTTCCATCTGTCACGTCATCTCCAGCGTTGCCATCACTCCACCGCCACTAGTGCTAGTGGGGCTCCTCGGCTGCCTTTAACACGGGCTCTGCTCAGGGGCCAGCAGGGAGGGAACTGATTTAAAGAATAATCACTTTGATCTCTTTCCATTAGTCAAGCTTTGCATTTGATTCCCCTGTTTGAAGCTGTAGATGGAGACTTAATGGGAGCTGGCTTCAACCCAAGCAAAGGTTTTTCTTCCCTCTCCTCCACTGTTCCCTCCAGTCCTGGTGTGTCCATGCTTGTCCTTGGCTATGGGCCTACCAAGCCCATCCAATTTGCTGAGCTTGAAACTTCAAGGACACCTCCTTTCACATGACTGAGTCCTGGTTTTGCAGTCCTTGCACACTATTGACTCACCTGTGATGCCCTCACACGCCTTCCTCTGCCGCCAGAACAGTGCCTGCAACCCTGCGGTCCATGGTCCTGCCATGCTCAGGACATCAGGCTTTCCACACGTGCAGGACGTGTGTGTCCCTGCCTGTCACTTCACGTGCACTGAGCACCATCGTCTCATCTGACCCTTGTGCAGTCACTGTCCTCTAGTTTATGTATTATTTATATACCCATGATATGGCAAATGATCTGAACCCAGCTGAAAATACAGCCCAGGCTTGAAGAGAGCACGTGCAGAAATAACCTTGCCGGTTTCCACAACTCTCCACTTTTAAGATTTCATCTGTGGGCCTGATCTTCCTCTTGCTTCACTCATTTTGTTCAATGTCTCCTTTTTCACTCTTTCCCTGCCACCTCAGTATTAACAGCAGAAAACCTTCCATTTCAAGCTGTGCTGTTTGCTTCTCTGCCTTCTTGACTTTTGATCTCTTCAGTACCTGAAAACAGTATTTTTTTTTCTCCTCAGTCTCTTTAATTTCTTTCCTTCTAGTTTAAACAGTGATATGAGTATCTTCATTTATTCACATTACAAAATCCTTACATCATGGTCAGTCGCTTACAGACATGCACCCTCCAGTTTCTTATCTATTATTTAATTCTGTTTGCAGGAAAGCTGCTATTTAAAATAAAGCTGTACAGTGTCATATTGATCTGCTCTTCAGATGATTCACATGTTTAAAATCACATTAAGTGATTACTATTTTTTTCCTTTTTTATTTTCTTCTGACTGTTCTGAGGGGTTTAGGAAACTATCCTTGGACAAGGTTATATATTTAATTTTCTTAAAACATCACAGAATCATAGAATCGTTTAGGTTGGAAAAGACCTTTAAGATCATTGAGTCCAACCGTTAACCTAGCACTGTCACGTCCACCACTAAATCATGTCCCTAAGTGCCACATCTACACATCTTTTAAATATCTCCAGGGATGGTGACTCCACCACTTCCCTGGGCAGCCTGTTCCAGTGCTTGACAACCCTTTCAGTGAAGAAAGTTTTCCTAATATCCAAACTAAACCTCCCCTGGCACAACTTGGGGCCATTTCCTCTCATCCTGTCACTTGTTACTTGGGAGAAGAGACCGACCCCCACCTGGCTACAACCTCCTTTCAGGTAGTTGTAGAGAGCGATCAGGTCTCCCCTCAGCCTCCTTTTCTCCAAGCTGAACAACCCCAGTTCCCTCAGCCGCTCCTCATAAGACTTGTGCTCCGGACCCTTCACCAGCTTCGTTGCCCTTCTCTGGACACGCTCCAGCACCTCAATGTCTTTCCTGTAGTGAGGAGCCCAAAACCGAACACAGTACTCGAGGTGCGGCCTCACCAGTGTCAAGTACCGGGGGACGATGACTTCCCTGCTCCTGCTGGCCACGCTATTTCTGATACAGGCCAGGATGCCGTTGGCCGCCTTGGCCACCTGAGCACACTGCTGGCTCATATTCTGCTGGCTGTCCACCAGCACCCCCAGGGCCTTTTCCACCAGGCAGCTTTCCAGCCACTCTTCCCCAAGCCCGTAGAGTTGCGTGGGGTTGTTGTGACCCAGGTGCAGGACCCAGCACTTGGCC